ACAGGGACTTGCTGAATAGGGGAGGGAAAGAAGGAAGAGGTCTTTCTTCTACACGGTCTCCTCCATATTGGCTCACGCTGACACTTGTTGGGACAGCCTGATCTTAAACTGAGGACTCAGCGAAGAGGGATTCTAACAGAAAAATAAACAAAATGATATTTATTTTATTAGAACAATTTGCTCTAGGAGTTACAAAGTTTGGGGAATAATAACTTCATTAATTCAGCCAATGTGTTGAGGCCATCATGTAAGGGAAGTAAGAATACACCAACAAGTGCACATGTGGTCCACTGTCCGAAGGTGGAGGCAGACTGGCAGTGACTCCACCTGGGTCCCAGGGGCATGTCATATGCAAGGGCTCAAAGCCGCATTCTGTACCTTCAGAGACGTCACTAGACATCCTTACCCACCGCTTGCTGTGGTGTCACTGTGCTCCTTTCTCCTCCTCTTCCCACTGTCCAAAGGTGGAGGCAGACTGGTAGTGACAGGCACCTGGGTCCCAGGGGCATGTCATATGCAAGGGCTCAAAGCCGCATTCTGTACCTTAAGAGACGTCACTAGACATCCTTACCCACCGCTTGCTGTGGTGTCACTGTGCTCCTTTCTCCTCCTCTTCTTTTTCTCTCTACTTGCTTGTGCTTTGCTTCATTTTCCCTGCTTTTCCCCTCGGCCCCACCATTTTTAAAATCTTTCTTTCAAAGTGTGAATAGCAGGTGTTGTTATAAAGATGCCTGTGTGCTTGTAAAGGTCATAAGGGTCCTTGCTCATGTGAGTTCAGTACTGATCTCCAAAGTACCTGATGTTTAGTTTTACATTATCGACTCTGGCTTCATGGGGGCAAGCTGTATGTCTGTGTGTCTGTGAGCACACACACACTTGAGAGGTGCCCTGCCCTGCAGAATCATCCTAAATATGTGCGTCTGCAAGTATGCACAGGCACACACACTCCGCTCTCATCAGAAAAGCTGTGGGAGCTGTTGCTGCTCCTTCCCAGGAGAATCGCTCCAGCAACATGACCACATGGGACAGCACCTCCCAGGGCCTGCAGCTCTGTCCACCTCTGGGCTCCTGCTTCCTGCTCAGCTGGACGTGCACTGAAGGACTTGTGCAGGGGCAGTGTAACACACCCTCCCAACACCACTAGGCCCCACCCATTTGTCGGGTGCCAGCCCGATGTCTTTCCCTCATGACAGTGACCGTGTTCTGGCCAGCTCAGCCAATGCTGCTATTCTACTGTCTTCATGTCTTCAGAACTCCTATCATTGTGTTCTCAGAACTCACTTTAGATCACACTGTTTCTTTCCTTCACTTTTTTTTAAGTTTTTGCTATAGGGAGAGGTAGGGAGAAAGAGAAGGAGAAAATGAGAAATCACCCCCCAGGAGGATAGCTGTGTCGCAATCCCTTTTGTTCCAGTCTCCTCTAGCATTTGGGGCACGCACACACACACCTGGAGTGATTCTCCTTAAACCACCGGGTCTGGCACTCGAACCATGCAGCTGGCCATGAGAGATCCAGCACCTCAACCTCCATGCCACCTGCTGGCCCCAGATCATACTTTTTATTGCTAATTACCTGCATGCCAGTGAGCTGGACTGTTCTCCCTAACTGCTTTACACTCTCCCAAAGTAGTAATATCACTATATTTTCCCACAGAAACTTGCAAGTCACTATGCACGCATATCCATTGATTGCTTGCCTGGCCTCAAACTGTGAGAAGAGAAGTATTAAAGCAATCACAGTCTTAGGTTGACTCCAGAACCCCTGCTGCCAGGACTCTGTTCACTTACATTAACACATGTACATGTTTACTCCTCTCTCGTCCCTCACATACACATGATGTTGCTAGTTTGTTTGTTCAAAGTGGTATTGAACAAAAGCATTGACTGAGTAGGCTATTCTGCTTGTTGTGGGGGAAGGAGATGCCTTTCTCTAACTTTCTGTATCATAAATGAAGCTTTACATATCAATGTGTGACCGATGTCTTTCCTGTTTTCTTTGTCCCTATTTTCCTCTATCCATGAATCACAAAAGCTTTAGGCAAAGCTTGGAAGGACTCAACAGGTAGCAGAAACGATTGGAGTGTACAATCTACAGGTTTAAAAAAAAATCAAAATGCAACCTAGAGAACAGGCCAAGATGTCTTTTTTGTTCCAAATTAGTCAGAAAGTAATGAGGAATATGCTTATGGCTGAAAAGGGCGCAGCACATCTGCAGAGGGAGGCTACAGAGGTGGATAGAGAGATGGAAACTAGGGTCCTGGGGAGGAACCATCCCAGGGCTCCTCTGACCTGGAGGAGAGAGCTGTATCGACTCATGATCTCAAGACATCGCGGTTGCTGCAGGAAGAGAAGGGGCCCATGGTAGGTATTCAGTGACCGCCCATCTGTGAGAAGCCAGAAACCCACGGTGCCATCTCTAACAAGCACTGAAGAGGCAGACAGGGCCTTTCATTATAGCAATTGGGACTCCGGCTAGAATTAAAATGACCTTTTCTGCAACGCAGGTTGTTAAAAAGGTGGTATTTCTGAGAGAGATTGTGAAATCATCTTTCAGAAAAGTCTCTAAAAAACAGTATGACTTTACTATAGTCTGCAGTTATTTATTTTAGTACTTTTTGGTCAAAGCTGAAGAGATGGATTAATTGACCTTTCTAAGCCCCTTTGAACATCCTAGTTCTTAGAAATACGGAGTATCTAGTGTGATGGCTTCAGGAATTATCATTTCTTCCAGGCTAGGAGTAACCCAGGACCGAAAGACTCCACAGGAGGTTGTGAACTTGCTTGCCTCTCTTTTGACATCACTCCCTTCTGAAGACACATTAGTGCCATCTACGAGTGGAAATTTAACTCCTTAACCACACGTCAGATTAGACTCCAATTTGTAGGATTCCAATAAGCTACAGAAAATAAACAAAGCAGCATAGCGAGAAATATTTAAAACGTAAGATAATGTGTTTTCTTTATTAGATGTTCTAATCGCCATTGCTTCCAAACCAGAAAAAATGCAACAACCAACAATTCGAATTGCCATACACATGAAGAAGTGAATTACTGAGGAATCCAGATGATGCAATTTGCAGAAGCCCCAGAGAGGTGTAACAAC